ACTGGCTTGAGCAGCAGCGCAGTCTGCAGTCAGGCGACGATTATACTGTCTGGTGCGCATGTCCAGGGTCTTTTCAATAGTGGTCGCTTCGGCTACAAATTCTTGGACGGTTTTCGGTGGGTTTCTCATCAGCCCCGCGAAGAGCTCCTGTTTGACCCCTCGCATGAGGAAACGAACTTTTTTCTCCTCAGGCATGTCTGGGTCAGCGTGACGGAATAGTCGGGTCATTTCTTCTGTGAAAATGGCGACATTTTCATTTGGTAGCTGAACCCGGGTCTCTAATAAAGCAGCGGCCCTCTCTTTTCGAGCAACGCTCGCGAACGTTTGCAGGAATGCGCCGCAGAAAACATCCCACGTTCGGAGCGTGGACTCCCGATTTTCGAGCCAGGTCCTTGCGGTGTCTTCTAAATAGAAGAACACACGACGCAGCTTTTCGTCATGGTCCCAGTGGTTGAGGGCGGCCACACGGTCGTATATCTCTAGCCAGGACTCCGGGTCTTCGAACGATGACCCATGGAAAATTGGTGGTTCCCTGGGTTGATGCATGACCATCGTGGGCTGGGACGCTGCGGTTGTCATTGTCGCTGCAGTCGCGGTCATGGCCTTGGTCTTCCGCGGCTTGTCGTGTAGAAGCCCGTACTCCGGTGGTAGCCCTTGCTGTCGGCGGCTTGTTCGCTGCTCCTGGTTGGCGTCGGTGTCTTCTCCGCGACGTGGGCTGGGTTCACGGCTTGACGGGGGCGTGCGGTACATGAACAAAGCAGCACCTCCACCAGATGTCACGGGGTCGTGACGTGGCCGAAGACAGGAGACTTCTTGTTGGAATTCAACTGTTTATTTGGGCGAACCTGTGCCTGGTAAACAGAAAGTCCAATTACAGCAGCAGTCTCGCACAGATAGCAGTCTCAGACTGATAGCGGCGAACGGAGCGTCGGCCTTCGATCAACAACTGACAAGCGGCGAAGCGCGTCGGCATTTATACTCCCGCCGTCGAATGTTCTAGCGCTATCGCTGGCGGCGGCGTGCGTTCCAGAACAATCTGTGCCATTCGCACAGTGGGCGTGATCTTATCGAAATGATCTACTACAGTCCGGAACCATCTAGAAAACTGCAGGCGCGGTTTGCGCTGAGAATTGTGTGGTGTTTTGGGACGATAACAAAAACTTGGGCAATGGAATGTGGCAGTATGATTGATAGACAGTAAGTATCTTAGGCTTGCCGAAAAATGGAGGAGTGTGCTCTCTTGGTTACAGATTTTCTATGTAGCGTACAGACCCCCCTCCCCCCCCTTTTTTTTTGTAAAACTAACATCCTGTCAAGATTGGTTTTTGAAGTTGTCCCCCAAATTAAAAGACAGTAATGTAGATGGGAGTGAGCTAAAGAATAATATAGCTGGAGCTTTAAGCAGTTTGGAACTAAGGACCTAAGTTTATTTAAACAGAAATCGATCGAGACATATTGGCGTGTACTTTATTTATTTGAGGTGTCCAAATCAGGTGCTCAATAAAAATACACCTAAAATTTAAACAAAGAGACTGATTTGACTTCATTATTTTTAAATCAAAGATAAATCCTGTAATCTTCAAACTTGTTTTGTTCTTGAATAAATAAATTTATTCTTGCTAACATTCAATCGTAGTCGGTGCAAATATAGCCAGGGAGAGAGTGAGACCAGACATTCATTCGCTTTCTTCTCTAGATCTTTTAGACAGCTGCCAGAGAAGAACAAGCTTATATCATCTGAACACATAACTGTAGAAAAAGCCACTGGCACGTGAACGATATCATTTATATAAATAATAAAAAATAGAGGTCCCAGTATAGAACCCTGAGGCACACCTCATGTTACTGGTTTTAACTGCTAATTATACCCGTGAACACATGTATATTGTAACCTGTCTGTTAATTAGCTACGTAGTAACTCTAGAGCAATACCTCGAATGCCATAATACGATAAATATTTGAACAGAATATTATGCTTAACCAAATCGAATGCATTTCGAAAGTCTAAAAATATTCCCAGGGTGAACTGCTTGATGTCTATAATTTTAGCGATTTGTTCTTGCCAAGTAATCCCATTTCTGTGGATTTTTTTGCTCGAAAGCCCAATTGCCCACAGACAAGTAGTTCATGATCATCTAGAAACTTGGTTATCCTTGTTTTTTTTTTCACATTTTCTAAAACTTTCGAGAATAAGGGTAACACCGATATCGGCCGGTTATTATTAAAATTATTGATAGGGCTTTTTTATGTAAGATTGTTACCCTCGCAGTTTTTATAGAAGCTGGGCAAATGCTTGTAACTAGCGCTCTGTTACAAAATGTTGTAAAGGTGCCACAAGTGAAGTTGCAACAAATGTTATTGGAATAGCTTTGCTTTCATCGTTACCGGCAGCAGTATTTTTATTTAGCCACACAAGAAAAAAATATATATCTCAAATTCACTACATGGTGATAGAAATATAGAATTCATACAAGAGGAAACTATGTATTTCTCAGGGTTTAATTGCTTGGCGGAAAACAATATGTACCAGAAGTTAAGAAGTATGAATTGAATTTATTTGACAAAGCCTATACTGTATAAGACACCATCACTCACCAACGTGCTAGGAATGTTATTTTGTTCTTGACCAATTAGAGAACGTAATATGTTCCAAACTTTATTGGGGCCATTGGAAACAGCAAGAAATCTATTTTTATAATATTCAGCCCTAGCTTTCTTGAGGTCAGAGTTTAACTTGTTTCTCACTTTGTTATACTCGTTAAGAAGCGCTATATCTTTTATATTATTAAACTGAAGGTCCATGATATCTCGGGCTTTAATTCTCCGTTGTAACTCTTTTGTTACCCATGGCTTTTTTTTTTTACTTTTTTGTGTGTGTTTTCGCATAACATTCTGGGAAAGCTTCCTCGTAGCAACGATTTACCTCTTTCAGAAATATGTCGTATGAAATGCTTAGATTTTCTTCCTTGAGAACATTTGACCAGGCTACAAGCTCGATCATTGAGCTTGTCACCATTATCACCATGTTTTCGAGATGGTGTGCGCGTCAACGACTCCGACCCAATGCCACTCACCTGGACAAAGTGTGTCGCAATGGAGGATTTTTTCTCCTCCATGGGTGTCTCCACCCTTTTCCCAGGGAAAGCCGACAATGACTTCGAGGCACACCAATTCAACCATATACACCATGCCTTCGTATGAAACGCCGGGTCGGCGGCGTAAAAAAAATGCTGGAAGTTTGCACTCAGTCGCCCAGACCACAGTGAAGTTGGTCGATCTTCAAGTCTTTAGGCTAACGCCTGTTGCGTCTTTGTGTTAACTGGTTCTTGCTAGGTTTCACTGTGTTGTAGTTATGGATTGTCGTATTCCATGCAGCGCCGCGCAAGAAGAGAAAAGGAAACGGCTGGCGCGAACGCGCGTACTGCAGAACTCGTGTTTCTTTGACGGCAACCTCTCCTCCTCCTAACGCACATCCTGTTTCAGCGCCCATACTGTTGCCCGTCTTTTTATTCTCCATTGTTTCCCCTTTCCTTCACGCTCAAACTGAGCTGCGCTATGGCAGTTCTTCTTCACCTCCTGGCGGTATCAATTGTCGGATGCGTCGCACAGGAATTCGCGAGTCAGACGCTTGCTCATAGTGAACTATATATACTTCCTGTCTTCCCTGTTATTTCACCATCTTACGCGTCATCCCATCTCTTACTTTAGTTGTAAACGAGAAGGGAACAACAAACTGCTCATCCATTTCTTTCTTGTACAGCTGGCCGTCTCCTCCACCGGTGTAAGGAGAATAGTACGTTTTTTTTTAGGGTGCTAATCATTTGAATGTGAACTCGTGGAGGAGGCAGACAAGACAAAAACTTTGCTCTGCGCATTTGACCTAACTGATCAGCTGTGAGTGAGGAGCTTCATTATTCCACCGCATTAAACCGGAGGACACCAAGATTGTTCTGCTTCGCCCCTTCTTTTCATTTTCTTTAAGATATATTGCGTCATGGTGCAGCTGATGGAATTTTGTCCCATCGCACACTGATAACAGGCAGCGGATTTGTAGGCCACGATATCAGCTATTTTCGGCACGGGTCATTTCCTTATGCGGCACTTTCTTGGTGCGATTACAGCGCATAAGTATAACGTGCTGACTTGCTTCTACCGACGGGGCGGATGAACCGACCGTGGCACAAGTCTCCTGAGCAGCGGGCACTTCGTAGATCTCAGTGGTAAAGACCTTACTCAGTAGCCGCCCTAAGGTTACTGGCATTTGCCGCTAAGGGCAAGGAAAAACTGAGACGCGCGCATGTCTACAAACCGCTAGCCCGGCCCATGACGTAAGATATATACTCTTCAGGTGAGGACATTTGCGAGACGCGATAGACTAGATAAAGTATTAACGCCCAGCGCTGCAGTCGGGCCACTGACGGCAGCGGATAACTATCGGCAGAATGACGCAGCTTCAATTCAAGACATAGACGCGTTCTCGTAGCAACTGGTATACCTTGCGGGAAATTCATCATCATAGTCAGACTGTTTCAGTCGCTGCCTCCTTCCTCGAAAACTCTAAACTCAAATGACGGAAAGCAGTATGATTAATTTTACCTAATTCGTATGCATGTACTACCACTGCGGTTGTGCTAGTTGCAGGCTCTATTTTCTACAATAACTACGCCGTACAATGACGAACAATATTGAACGCAAGGAATAATTTCGGGGCACATTAATGTCCCCGATTTACGTAAGTCTGCCTCTGGTACGCAGTTTAAAAGTAAACATTATCTAATTAGGGCCTCTATCGAGAGCCCATGCACTCGTTGTACATAAGAGAGAGGCATGCACAATGTGTTTGTTTTGCAGCATTTGAGCTCATGGATGTGACACTTTTACCTGCACGTGCTTGACAGACACTCGAGTTTGCTGGTAACATACACTGCTTCTGGGCTGGCAGCTCGGCGTAGCGGAAGCTAAGGCAATCATCCAGCGACGCCGTCTGCGGATTGCGATAAAAGCAGCCAGAGCGACAAGGACGTCGAGTACAAAAGTGTGAGAGATAGCAGAGTTCAGACGGCTCGTGAACAAGCTGTCAGCAGACAACATGCTCTTACGATTCATCCCGCTGATTCTGAGGTAAGCGGCATTTCTTGGGCTCCGTCTGAAGAGAACAACGTCTCTGTAACATTTACAAATTACTGCCGTGTCGTCATTAACTTTAATAGAAATTTATTACCTCTGTGGTGTGTTTCCATGCTACGCGATTATTCGTTGTTTGCGGCAGCGTGTCATAACCTCCGTTAAAAAAAACAGTGTTGTACAAACACAGATAACAGTTCTTGTGTCAAGTGCAAGACCAACTCATGCACAGACCAATTAATTCAAAGATGAGTGTGCGATATACCAGCTAAATACGCTGCAAGGTGATAGTCCAGGGTGTGCAAGGTTCCGTGATGTGCCCCGAAATCTCCATACGCCCTCCATTTAGCCCGCCATTGTAATGCTGCAGCGTACCCTCATGCGTTTTGCAACGTCGGTAAAAAATGGAACGCCTCGGACTTCTTTCTCTGTCCCAGTAGAATGTCTCAGAGAAGGTTATGTCTAAGGTACTCGGCTGCTGACCCGCAAGTCGCGGGATCGAATCCCGGCTGCAGCGGCTGCATTTTCGATAGAGGCAAAAATGCTGTAGGCCCGTGTTCTCAGATTTGGGTGCACGTTTAAGAACCCCAGGCGGTCGAAATTTCCGCAGCCCCCCACTACGGCGTCTCTCATAATCATATGGTGGCTTTGGGACCTAAACTCCACATATCAATCAATCATCAAAAAAAGGTGTATGTAGCTTTGGGAAAAAATGTGAAAAAAATACCCCTATGTAGGTGTTTAGCTTCAGCCATGGTGTCAGTCAAGCTGCAGTGTTAATACATGCGCCTTTAGAGATAACCAAGCAAGCAAAAAAACAAGGATGACATAAGTAAGCTTTGCTAATTCATATTTCTCTACGAAACATCATGACAGGAAATTTCTTCGCCAAAAATTAAACCTCAAAGTACCGGATAGCATACTTGCTTGTTCAATAAACAGAACAAAGATATATACAGTAAAAGTTCGAAATCGAATAACTCAGACTTTCAATCAAGTCAATCTGATGTCCTGGTCCCACGGGACAGCCCAATTTATTTATGTTGGGAAAAATCGCGATCATTTGAACGTGTCTGTATCTACAACAGCTAATTCAAATCTCAGGGAGCCCCGTGACTTTCTATCCTCCTCGCAGAAATCAGCCCAGAATGATCTGTGAAATTACTTTCATCTGTGTATAACAAATGTTAATGATTGACTTCCATGTATGCTTTTACGGTTTTCAATCCCTGTCTACTGCTATTGATGTATGCGTGACACGGCTCAGTCAGGCAATGTTTGCCTTCAGCCAAGACCTCGGGAAATTTGAAGATCGTTCTAAATGAACTAAAAAAGAAAGACTTTATATTTTGATTGCATTAACTCCACCAAGTAAGTGAGCGTCTTTTTGAGCTCGAGTAGCTTCCTATATTTTGGAATTATTGCTCACGTGAATGCAAGTGGCTGCTTGATTCTGGTGCATCACTGACTGGTCAGTATACATTCTATTCGCCATTAGAGCATACACCTAATTTACGAAATTACCTGCCTCAAACGTGTAGTATCACCGAATTTGTGCAAACGATTCCAGAGATGGCATCTCTCCTCACAGTATATGTGGCGAAATGTGTGTTCATCCTTGCGCTTGCCCGATTATTCGAGCTCTACTTAATTCGAACAATTTCATAGTCCCCTACGAGTTCGAATTTACGAGACCTTACCGTAATTGAGCTTGTTTCCACTTATATATGCAAACATTGCAATTTTTTGTGGAATAGAATATCCGAACTAGGTGTTTAGAGGGAATAATTTTGGCGCCAGCATATACTAACTGTTTGGTATATACTTGCGGTAGTATGGAACCGTTAAACTGCAAAGCGCTTAGACCACGTGCTGCCGTATCTGTTCACAGCAAGTGCTTGAAATGACACCGCGATAACTTTTAACAACGTAACCTGTAGGTTTGTTCAATTGTTGTTATATGAGTACTTTTATTATCATGAAATAGCTGAAGGAAAAGTGATTAACTGCAAATATTTGCATATATTGTAGGTTTTATGGTCAGAAAATAGCACGAAAAGGAGGGAAAAACTTGAGAGGACCAACGCTCAATTTAAAACTGCACTTTATTGGAATTTCTTTTCTCATACGAGAGCACACACACGCGCATATGTCGACTTTATTGCAGTGAAGACTTAGCCAAGAGGAAGGGGACCTATCATAATTTATTTACGTCGCCCTTTAAGTATTTAGAAAGCCCATCTCTTTATCACTCAGCGATACCGAGGGAACACAGATGGTCGAGTTTGCTTTATCTGTCCAGCGTCCATAATCTCCCTGGTCAGTCAGTGTTCTGATTAGCAAAGAACATTAGTGCTCGTGAATCGCGAATGGCACCCGCAAGCTTTGCAGTGCAGAGACAGTTGCGTGCCGCATGCGAAAGTCTTCAATGAAGAGACATGTTCTCCTAGTCTGTCATTTAGACATCGGCTCTTCTGGCCGATGTACACTTTCCCACAGCTCAACGGAATTCTTTACACCACCTCATCGCTGTACGAATCGGAAAGCATGTCATGCTTTTTTGTTTGCAACATTTTTTTACTGTTCTTTTCTCATGGTTTTTAACCATGGAGATCAGCTTAGCCACGTTTTAATGCAAAAAAACACGCCATGCATTTTTCATCTCCCGATATTTTGCTTTTTCTTTACGTCCTGGACGATATATATATATATATATATATATATATATATATATATATATATATATATATATATATATATATATAAGGGAAACAAGTGTATACTTAAGGGCTCGTTTTTCGTGTTTACACAATATTAATGAGATATGAGATCTAACAGACAATAATGCCAAGGAAGGTATAGGGGAAGTTATTAGGCCAATTGTAATGTAAATGAGAAGAAAGAAAAGTGGGTGAAAAGATAACTTGCCGTGGGCAGGATCCGAACCTGCGACCTTCGAATAACGCGTTCGATGCTCCACCACTGAGCTACCATGACAGCAATCCCCCCAGCCACTTTATTGGGTATCTATGCCAATTTAAACGTGGGAGTGTCAGTGAGCGCCACTAGTAGCTATGGCAACGAGTGTGGCACACTCTTTATGAGCCTGTTTGGTGTCTTAATCTTAATCTTATTAATGTCTTAATCTTATTTGTTGCAATTTCAAGACGTGGGCCGGTCTTTGTCAGGGTTTGCGAACAACTTTGCCCCCATGAAGAGCGGTACACCGGTTGAAACCGTAGGAAACATAATTTAGACAACCGCAAAGTTGTGTCTATGTGCAAAAAATCGCCATGGATTTTTTTTATCTCCCGACGTTTTGCAGTTTCTTTACATCCTGGGCAAGAGTAGCCAAAACATGTGATAAATATATATATATAGATATAGCTTTTTTTGCTATGAATCGTAGTTTCGAGTCAGTGGTTCAGGTCAGCGCCTGTTTGCGTCTTTCTTGGATCCGTGTGTTTGTGTGCGTGGCTTATCCTGACAAAAGTAATCGAATATGCAACATATTAAGCTGCCTAATCTCTCACATTGAATCGCACGTTTAATCTTTATTTAACCTCCATTGAGATAATTTATAAATCGTGAATTTCGACGCCATGAGCAGGTCTTTTGTGCGGTCTTTCATCACTTACCTATGTGCTACAAAACCAGCTGACAGACGCAAGGTAAACGTAACCATATGCTCTTCAGAAGGGACAATCTCCCAGCAATCGCCTTATCATGCTTTTTCCCACTAAAGCCTGCAGCAGCAGCAAAACAAAAGGTTCACTTTCCATAATGCCACTCTTCAAGTAACAACGACGGTATCTCCCGGATACGAATGATATGATGTAACAGCTGCATGAACGCTGAAGTGGGAAGGAACAATTCCTTTATTATCATTGTGCAATCTTAGCTTTGTGATAAAGGCACACGCAAGTGGGGCAAATCAGCTACCGGGATGTATCTGCAAACGCTTCAGGGTTTCTTCTGCACTTGTTACAGATTACGGCAGTCCGAACGATTACTTGCTATCAGGTGCGGCTCTGAGAACGTTGTGGACAGGAACACTACATCTACTCTTGCGGAAATCACACATACACTTGCTTTGCAAACATGCGTATTACAGTCCTTACTTTTGATGGTATAAATAACGCATTTTAGCCAAATATGTACGACTCAGATTATAGCAATAATGTCCGCCAGACTAGCCACAAAAGGAACTGGTTTAGGATTAAAGATTGTAAGCGAAACCTATAGAAGCTTATTGTAAGTACACGAGAGTTTCATGAAAAATTTGCCAAGATATTTATATACCGTATATATAATGAACATACATTTACTTTGTACAGGTGAGCCAAGTTTCTTTTTTTTGGGGGGGGGGGGGAGGGGGGATTGTTGCTTTGAAGTACGACCTTGTTTGTTTTTTCCCTCAAAAACAATGAAACGTACCCACTCTTGTAGATTGGCCAAGAATGAGTAGCTGTAAATTTTAAAGGTTATCCGAAAATGTTAAGTTTTAAGAGAATTGAATGGCTATGGTACGTATTGCATTATATTAGGAATACCAAAAATATGCTTCTAAAAAATTTAGTACTGCCGTATTAAGTGTCACCTTTGTTACCTCCTCCTCCTTCTTCAGCCACGATTTCACAAGTAGTGGGTGCAGCTTTTCTGCTGCAAACGTTAATTATTATTATTTTATTTTTTTATTTATTTTATTTATCAGATACTGCCGGCTGCCTTTTGGGACCCGTGGCAGGAGTGGGTACATCACATTACAATGTTACACATTGCATCGTTTCAGTCGACAACCGAAAAAAAGAAAAATAGAACAAATGCACATATGTCTAATGATAACGACACATGGTGCCGAATGTGAACTCAAGACGCGACCATAAAAACAAGCCCAACAGCATTTGCAATAATACACTGAGGTAGGACACAGGAGCAAAAACACGTACAGGATCGAGTGATTGAACACCAGAAAGACGCATACAACATATCAGAAC